GCTTCGTCCACTATTTGATGAATGATGACTAGCAATGGTAACCAGGATATGCATTTCATTCTACATAGGTTTCGGCAACTGACAGTACCTGCAATCTTCAGTGACTGGTGGTGTTCCCAATGAGACTCGAACTTACAACCCATCGTTTCAAACACCAGTGTTATCCATGACATAACTAGATCTACTTAGATCAATCAATGACAGAAAACAAAGTTGACTTAAACAAACAATTTCATTTGTCTTATTGAACACTATCCTCCACATAAAAGGATCAATCATTGATTAAATTTAGTTGATATCCAATCTCTTTCACAAGTTGACTTTTTTGAATTTATTATATCCAACTGTATATTGGGTTTCATACATGCTTTCTTACGAACATTCCTGCATAACTGTTGTCTTAAAGAGTTCCCTAACGCTTCCTTATTGTTTATTAATGAACTGTGAATATTTAAAACTCTGAAATCTGTTAATCCTTATTCATCCCATTAAGTTTTCCTACTAATTATCCAAAGCGCATTGATGGTTTCAATGGTGGAATGCTAGAACCCAAAAGGGGCCGGTTTAAAAGGAAATGCCAGACACCAAACAAATAAGGTTAGACAATATGGCAACATAAATTAAAACTGGATTCAATCGTAACTATATACCGTAGATAGGCTAAATTAGAATTAGATTATGCATAAAATGGGTTAACGATTGTGAGAAGGCGAAAACACGGTATCAGTTGACGAATGAATTCAGTGTAGACAAACTATCTGGAATCATTGAAACACAAAGAATTTGATGATGTTAGATGGTTGAAGGCAATCGGCAAAGTATCCACTACAGTCCTACAGGAGGTTAATCGCGAACCCGAATACCTCAGTAGTAAAGTCTCTAACTGCTGTCTGTCTGTTTTCGACATAGAACTTTGCACCAATGTGAGGCAGTTCAAGTCGCCACACTCCCTCCTTGTAGCACACAAAGCAAGAGAAGAAAATACAAGAAAAGCATAATAGAGACAGTAAACATAAATGTGAGACAAAGAAGGAGTAATAACGAAGAACAAAACAGTTTCATTGGAAATCATAAGTCACAAGGAGTGGATGCATCTGCGCCGCTGAGAACGATTTTGAGCCATGTCACCGATTGTTTTCAACCATTTGTTTTTACCGTCCCGAGGACCCCAGCCTGGAAGGTGTAGACTTCCAGGCTGGGGTCTCTAACTGCAGCACTGAGTGACGCGGATTCGGATCTCAAAAGGGACATGAGTTCCTCCAAGATTGCAGATAAGCCTTGCTGATGAGTGCGAAGTAGCACAAAACCTAGGTTGAAGGCTTCCTGCCGATAGCCTCCAACCACCTAATATCATCAAATCAATGTGCACCCCGATGGCAAGCTACGTAGAATGGTGGCCATATTGCAAACCTCACTGATAGAATTCAGTCTGCACCAAAGAAAGGACTAGACGCATAACATGATTTACCGGTATCCAATCAAAGTGCACAGAGAATTTATAATCACTGAAATAACTCATGGTAAAAATCAATAATAGACAGAAGTTAGAATTCGTGGGCCAGTGGCTGAATGACCAGCGAGCCCTCTCCTTGTAACCTACAGGACGTGGGTTCATTTCCTAGCACTGAGGTCACCATGAAGTTGTACTGCTACTGAGGGGCCCAAAACTGGGACCAAAAAACCCGCTCTATTCAATATTCTTCCCTGGTTTTCAAGGGCCCTTGAACTGATGTCAATCCCTAACCAAAACTTGAAACCAATCAGATCCTTATGAAATTAACATTTGAAAATAACTCAAAATAGTTTATAATAGTTCAAATGTATCCATATTTTTTGTCATAAAACTTCTGAACATCTTCACCATCCCATCACACCGTTATCCCATTTCAGAAGTCTTAAATTGCTATTTTAATCTATTCTAAATGCTTTCTCAGTGTGAAATCGCAAAAACGGATGGATGTCTGTAGAAAGTCTTACACTGTTGGTATTAGATAGTTGGAGGCAGTCGGCCACAGGAAGCCTTGCTCGACCTAGATTTTGTGCCAGTTGGCACTCATCAGTCAGTCAGCAAGGCGTATCTGCAACCTTCAAGGAACAACTCATATCCCTTCTGAGATTCGAACCCGCGTCACCCAGTGCAGTGCTGCACTCAGTCAAGCTTGACTGATAGAATTCACTCTACACCAAAGATAGGACTAGACACATTACACTAGTTACTGACTAGTGTGCAATCAAAAACAGCCTTACACTGTTCCAACAATTAGTCAAATTCCAGAATCCCTATAATGCCCTGAATCCTCCACCCTTTGTTGGATTTCGAAGAGGTAGTTTAGCTGTTAAACCAATTCACTATTACATGCAATTCCTATGGTGTTATTTGCTGTCAATGAGTTGAAACTAAACACACACTATAACACACAAACATGCTCATTTACACACACACACACACAGAGTATCATCATGCCAAATATTTTTTTCATTTCACCACTCAATGTAATGAATAAAACTAAGCAACAACAACAGCAAAAAAAACAGTTTTTCGACTGCATTCATCGTCTGCTTTGTTAATACACACACACACATACACACATACATACAAATTCACATAAAATGTGCAAATACTACATGATATGAGAAGCGAAATGCATTCCATTATCATTATTACTATTATTATCATTATTATTCAGATGGGTGGAAAAACTATGTGCAAATTTTATATTGTCTGATGAAAGAAATAAAACGTTTTTATTTCTTGTTATTGCAAACTAACACAAAACTACTTGAGTAATCGCGATATTTATAGAAAGTAAAAAGTCAATCAACACTATAGAGTTACTCCATTCGTCACCACTACAATTATAAAACTGGTAAACTGTTATTCTCAAGCATTGGTTCTGTAGGGATTTTGTTTGATTGCATGTGGGATTTCACCATGAGCTGACATCAGTTAGAGAATCATTGGAAAACCTGCAAGGAGTACTGGACAGCTGTTTCGTCAGCCTAGTTCGAAACTCTTCAGCAGTACGCACCCACCAGGGTTTGAACCGAAGACCTTCTGGTTACAAGGCTAGCGACCTCGTAGACCAATAAGATACTGGGACCCGATCCAATGGTTCTTGAATCCTAACTTCTGTCAATTCACGACATAGCGCGACTACTTCGCAATGTCTTCTTCGATGAGTTACTGCCCCATCTTCCAGTACTCCCAGGTTTTCCAGTGGTTCTCTAACTGATATCAGCTCATGGTGAAATTCCCCATGCAAACTGTTATTCATCAAACAATATTCAACTACGAGTAAAAACATACAGAAGTGCATACAGGACGAGGCTGCCTATTATCACCGATGATATTCTTAATTGTGGTGGACTGACTGGATTATGCGTCAGACTGTGCAAAGGGAGAAAGGAGATAGAAATACACTGGGCTCTAGAAGATCTGGATTTCATAGATGATATATGTTTAATGTCACACAAAATTCGAAGACTTAGAGGCAGACGAAAACCAGAAAATTGGCCGAAGAGGCCGGCAGCAAAGACAATACTTCAGCTGAACATAGAGAAGACGGAAGTGATGAAGATAACCAACCAACAGCAACAACAACCAGCACCAATCACCGTCAACGGGAGAGATTTAACAAAGGTTGCCTGCTTCACTTATCTAGGAAACCAGCATCGTTTTAAAGCCAGCCAGTCAGAATCGGAAAGGCAAGATACACCTACATCAACCTGAAACCAGTTTGAAAATCTTCTGCACTCACTTAGCATAAGGAACAAGATTCGCATTTTCAACACCAATGTCAAGTCGATCCTTCTACATGAGTCAGAGACTTGCACTGAGTATCAGTCACGAAAAGGATTTCCAACATGCCACTTCGAACTTTTACCAACAGCTGCCTCCTTCTCTGTCTGCATACTGAAGATCAAATGGCTGGTTGGCCAGAAAGAATTAGTAACAAGAGACTCTGGCTAAGAACAAACCAACGAGCGAGAGCCGATCGCTCAACAAATATGTAAAAGAAAATGGAGATGAACTGATCGGGCATACATTGACGAAACCGTCGAATGATATCACTCGCAATGCGGGTCATTGCTCGAGTGGAATCCAAAAAGGGAACGACGAGTAAGTCGTCTGTGCGAGGATGACATGGAGGAGATCGTTTGGGGTCAGAGAGGAAGAGGTGGTCAATTGTGGACTCAACTGAAGAGGATGGCGGAAAACTGAAGAAAGTGGAGATAAGTTGTTGAAGCCCTATGTTCCACTCGGAACCCAAGGGAATAATAATAACCATAACACGCTATGAAGTAGAACAGTATTCAATCACTTTTTCAAGATGAAGACAAGGCAGACGAAACGGACTTATATGTTTTCCGAAAAAGACTCACTGAACAAACCTACACAGGCACTTTTCCCTCTTCATATATACACAGGTAGTCTGATCTCGCTATTAAACCACTGTTAATGACCACGTTAATGACCTGTGTTAAAACTGAAAACAGGATTACTAGAAAATTAAATTTGTTAGTTCTCACTAATTAAGGTTAGGTGCCAGTGGTGGTGGTGGTGGTGGCAGTGGTGTAGAGGCAGGCATTGAGCACAGTTATAAACATTAAACAGAGCAGAGACTACTTTAGTGAGAAGGATTCCCGCAGTTAATTACACATGCATTCAAATAATTTATTTACTACTTGTGAATTAGGAAAACACAACACACTTTATTCTCTACTCTACTCTACTCTACTGTATATCCTAACATGTAACCTAAAAAGTTTAGTCGTTTATCTCTTACAATGAGTAATTTCTGCGTTATTTTTTTTTCTCTCCTCTAGATTCATTTTCTTCTAGCTATACTGATTGGAATTGTAACACAATACCGCCAGACAAAAAATATCATTCCAAGGAAAAGCAATGATAACTGCCGATCTCTTAAGTCTTCTCATCATATAACATTCTAAATAATCTACATGTATGTAAACGACAAAAGCAAAAAAAACTAACTTACGCATCAGATAATCTAAGAAATAATAAAAACAATAAAAAAAGATTAAAAAAAATCCAAAAGTATGAAAGTTGAGTACAATTCATTCATTTGAACAGAAACAGACAACAATAATATGTAACTTTCAAGAGTTGATTTGTTTTGACCAGTTTGACCACTGATTGATATCAGTTAGAGAACCATTGAAAACCGCTACTAGAGTATTGGACAACTGTTTCATCCCAGCCTGGAAATCATCAGCAGTACGCACCCATTGGGGTTCGAACCGAGGACCTTCCAGTTACAAGGCAAGCCACTGGGACCTGATTCAATGGACAGTGCATAAATTCTAACCTCTACCAATTTGTGATTTTCAACGGTTCTCTAAGCGATATCAATCCGTGGTTAAACCCGAAAAATAATATATAATGTTTATACTATTAACAAAGAATAATTACAAAACAGGGCATTTTTGTGTGTGTGTGTGTTGCTAAGTAGTTGTTTATATTATTGTACAGAGTGATACTTGTGTACAGTTTGACAATAATGAGTAAAATGATGCTATTGGAGCAGTAAGAATCAACAAGAACCTCTTTGTTTTTATTGAAATTCACTAGTGAAGTCTAACTCGATAAGCATCACCATCAGGCTAACTTCCATTGGACGACTTTTTCTCCTGCTAAATATGTATCAGTCAGTTCTGCATAGGGATATAAGAGCTTTGTTAGTTCGTTGACACCTTTTTCATGCTATTGTTATGATCTTTCCAAAGGAATATAGTTTTGCCCACCAGTGGATTCTTTTGAACATGTCCCAAAAGGTGTAAGTCTCGAGGGAACAAAAGCTTTCATCAGCAGACAAAATTGCTCAATTCTCCTCAAATTTGCCAAAACAATCGCCATCATACAACACCTGAGATCCGATCTGATAGGTAACAAGCAGTAACCAATCTTTTCATACCCTAGTGACTGAATGCCTTTACTGTCTCTCTCTCTCTCTTTTATTTGATTACAAAATTTCTGACATTGACCTCTTCCCCTTCCCTATAATGTAATTTTGTTTGTCTTTCGTTGCTATGAATTGAGTTGAACTCATCACAATATTACTCAACTTACTAGTTATCTATCATCTTATCCACCTCTTGTCTTTATTAAGCAACGTTTTTTGCCATTGTATCGAAGCTTTCATTTTGAATAAAGCAAGAATAACAGTGTGGTTTGTGCAGAATAATATGGTACCATCATTGTTTATTTCGTTAGCTTCTCATCAGCTGCCACTTACAGCTTGCAAATTTTACATGATGTCAGTAGTGACAGGAAGTTCTGCAATCAGTACACAGTGCTCAGAAAACTGCACTTATACAGTTTTTACACAGGCAGTTCAAGTTTAAACAAAATAAATGTATGCATATAATGGTTATTATTATTATTATTATTGTTCCTTTGGGTTCCTAGTGGAACATAGGGCTTCAACTGCACGTCTCCCTCCACTTGCTTCTGTCTTCCTTCTGCTGTACTTTTCACCTGCATCCATGTTAGTCCATACTGTTTCAACTACTCTCCACACGATCTCTTCCATGTCACCCTTGTACTGACGTCCCACTCACCGCTTCCCTTTCGGGTTCCACTCAAGGGCCTGATGCACGATGGCACCCAGCGGCCTCCTCAGCGAGTGTCGCCTAGATTACTAGCTCGCTACTTTTCTAGCTGGTCCCAAGTCCAGATAAAGAGAGAGGGTTGGGGCGTGGTGCTAGCAACTCCACCCCCAAAACTTAACCAAATTGCTACAGAAACTTCAACACACAAATATATTAAAAATTCTAAAAATATATAATGGTAAAGGAGTTACGTAATACAGACGAGAGATGCGTAAGATGCTGAGTGATTAATAAATTGGGTAACAATGTGCTGAGAGTTCAACTCAACTCATAGAAACAAGAGACAGGCAGAATTACACTATGTCAAGGGAGTGAGGTTAAGGCCAAAGACTACGTAATCAAACGAAAGAAAGAATAAAGACATCCAGTTACCAGGATGGGCAAGGAAAGACTAATAACTGCTTCTTTCTGAGCACCTGTCAAGTGACGTGATGATACCATATTATTTTTGCACAAACCACTGTTGTTTTTACTTTATTCAAATTCATCAAGGAGAATAAATGCATGAAGCTTTCATTTTATTTTGTTTAAACTTGAACCTTCTTGTTTAAGCTGAATAAACGTAATTACTGAGCATTGTTTATTATCAACTGACATCACGTGTAAATTCTGTGTATATTAAAATTGTTCTATACATAAACTTAATAATTTCTTTAGGCTGAAAGCAGTTGATGAAAACCCAATGCAATAAACAACGCTACCACCTTATTCTGCACAAAAACTGTTATTTTTGCCTTATTCAAACAGTAGTCTAAATTGCTAATTTTTATTTCTCCTATTGGAGACTAGCAGTGTAATTCAAAATTGCAAATTTAGCCTATCTCGAATTCGTCAGCTGAATGTATTTGCATTCCTAGTCATTGATGAGTGAAGCCTCTGTACTAGGAGCCGATACATGTCAACAGATACCGGACCGTGTATTTTCGGTCCAACAATATAATCAACCACCGCGAAAGGCATACAAAACTAACCTATTAGCAAATCACTAACTTTTTTGTAGTTTTCTGTGGATTATGCATACAAATGCATTATAACTAACCTGACCGATAGTTACTGTCTGCATAGCTTTGTGTGGCTTTCCTTAATCACCTGTTATTCAATATATATTACTAGTATTAATGCTAATTCAAAATGAAGTGTGAGCTGAAGATTTCGTCCAGAAGGAGGACAATGAAAGTTTTGCAACTGAACCATCCAGTTCAGAGAAGACAACTCTACGCCAATACAATCCACCTACCTGAACTACAAATCTTCTCTATCATATCCGAATAATAAACTAAATGACGCTACGAAAAAGAATTAATTAGAAGAAAAGGCAACAGAAACTACTGTTACAGCTATGGGGAATTAAGAAACTCAAAGAGTCAAAGAGACAGTATTCCAAACGTAACAACAGGCACAACCAACTTTAGTGCTCAAATTATAAAGTGAGCTTTTTTAATATGATTAAGACAAAGCATATAGCGAAAGAAATAAGGAAAAGCAATCATGAAAGAAAATATCAAACAGTTTGTTTGGAAGAAGAAATCGCGTTAACTGATAGGGTGAAAGTACCGACAGAAACTGATGAGTCTCTCAGACTGCAAAAACCAACCTGAAAGGAGAGGCTAAAATGACAAATCATCACAGCTGACTTCACTAAGTTCAAACGGTGTTTCAAAAGGAATCACGATTGACACCCAAAAATTCCCCAAAATGTCCCCTTCTAACAGTCACTCTTCACAGTCTCTTCTTATCATTACTTCAATATCTTTACCAACTATTGATTTGCAGTTTTAGTTAGTTTTTAGTTTACTTCGGCTATCTCCTACGGGAGGATGAGCCGGCTTCATGAAGTTTCTTGGGAATTTGGTACGAGTGATGTCCCCAGCATCGCTCGGCCTTTTGTTTGAGAGTGCAGCTCTAGCCTTTACACAGCCAAGTGTGACCTACAAGGCAGTAGGAGTGGAGTAGGGAGCCCACTATCCATTGGCAGCCGGTGACCGGAGTTCGGTTCATACGCCTTTTTGAATGGGGCCAGACATCCAGGACATCCAACAAGCCCTTTGTCCATACGTCTGCCGGTGAGCTTCATACGCCAGTCGTTGAAGGTTTGGAATCAGGGTTTAGCCATCTCCCCTAGACTGTCATCCAATGGACAGTCAACCCGGTGGAGAGCGCCGGGCATCCGCTTTTGCCCTCTCGCTTTAGTGAGAAACACCTCCGCCACGTGAAGGCAGTGAGTAGGACTTCCTCAGGAGAGGCTATGTAAGACGCACGGTCATATGGGAGCATTTCAAGAGGTGTGCGGAGGGGTGGCCAACCCGCAGCGCAAGACACCCACCCCCGACCATCCTGAGGCTTTGGAGGCTTTTGCAGGGATTTGATTGACTGCAGGTTTCATCACGAGTTGATATCAGCAGTTAGAGAACCATTCTAGTGAGATATCGTAACTAACGGGGTCCGCTAAGTCAGGCAAGAGACCAGTTCTTCGCCTACGCCACCGGTTGGCGGTTGCGCTATGTATGCCACGAACTGGCAGAAGTCGGAATTTACAGGCTACTGTATCCGGTCCCATCTGGCAACCGGAAGGTCCTGGGTGCGTACCATTGAAGAGTCCTAGACTAGGAAGAGATAGCTCTATCCAGAACTCCCAGTTGGTTTCCAATGATGTCAACCCGTGATCGAACCTGTAAGTTCAAAATTTCTCGAGCATTTTACGAGATTCCATTGAGTACAATGCATCTTTCTTAACAAACACTTCTAAGAAAACAAATAATTCAATAATTGTCGGATAGAAATATTGCGATGAATATCGTTTTCTTTTTTTTTACTGAACTACACATAAGTGAACTAACCTTATTTGCAATTCCCCACGCAGATCAGATAATATCCGTGCAGCATCTTGATAAAAGCTTAACTGAGCAGAAACGAAATTTGATAATGCTTCAATTTGTTCGACCTTAAATTTTATGTGCCAAAAAGAAAAAGATAAATACGTGTTAGACGGCACACAAAATAAAATAAATCAAGGTAGGATTAAGTATGAAATAACTAACGGAGTAAGAGAAATGATTTAGTATTAAAATTCAAAATTTAAAAATTAATTCGCCATTTCCAGTGTAACGGAAAAGCTGTCTGGAAAAACCCCTCCTAAACGATCTGGATATTTGGGTAGTTCAACTAACTTTGTAAGTATTATTCATTTTACTCCTGGACTGCATATCATTATTCTGATATTTGTATATTACACGTTGATTTGATCCTTATTAATTGTCTTTGTCCCTGTTTAATCTCTAATTTTAACGCTTTTCTCTGTGGTTGTGTGATGTTGTTGATAATGCGTTGTACGATGTGATTTTGTTTGAGTGAATCAAGGTCATTCCGATCTTGGACCGTCTGTGGAAAGCATTAGTGTGTGATTCCAGCAAACAGAGATTTTGATCCCACACCTTGCTGGGAATACTATAGCTGATTCTAAGTACTAGTTTTGTACAGGTGTATAGCTGCCTAGAGGCACTGTTGAGGTAATTCTGAGTTTTTGATTTTACTATTGTTTAACAGAACTGCAGAATTATTGAAAAATAATTGTCTTCTTACTGTCTTTGAAGCGTTTCATGACTGCGTGTGTCTCAAGGAGGCTTTGTTAGCTATACAGGTAGGACGCAGAAATCAGTTTCCTGCGCTCAGATGAAAAAAGTTGGCTTCGATTGTAACAACTAATTTACATAGTTCAAGGTGAAATTTCAACCAGTTCCATGTGGAAGTGATTGTTAGCCAGATTATTGAAGCGATCTACACACCGGATAACCGTGCTTCTAGTTTAGAACCGAGCTCATCAGCAGTACATCTGGCGTGACTCAGCACATCACCACTCCACGAAAATTAAAACATTGTGTACTCCTATCACAATGAACTGCATATTTCAATTTTAAATTAAATTTGCCGTTATTCCTTGAGTATGAATCAAACTAATTCAGATTCATTGGAGGATTTATTTATGAGCAAACATCAGAGACAGAACCATTGGAAAACCCGGGAGTACTTGACAGTCAGCTGTTTCATCCCAGTTTGGGACTCTTCAGGAGTATGCACTCATCACCAGGGTTCGAACCCAGGACCTTCTGGTTAGCGAGCTCGTAGACTACTAAGACACTGAGACCCGATCCAACGACCCATTAATCCTAACTACTGCCAATTCATGACAAAGCGCGACTATCTTGCAATGTCTTCTTCGATGAGCTACTGCCTCACCTTCAACCTGCTGCACCCTACTAATCACGACTTTCCACTCACTTCCCAGGTTAACTGCCTCAATAGGGCCAGTAGCTAGTGAGCATCAGATTAATTTTCAAGTATTAGTTTTGTGGAAAATTTCGGATTCGAACCCCGGTGGGTGCATTCCGACGAAGAGTCCTAAACTAGGCTGACGAAACAGTTGTCCAGTACCCCCAGGTTTTCCAGTGGTTCTCTCAGTGATGTTAACTCATGATGAAATCCTCCAACCAATCAAATAAGATTCCTTACAAAACCAATACTTGAAAATTAATTCAGATCGAACTTGAACCTCTGTGAAGTTTAACAGTATTCACTAATTGAATGGATCACAGATAGGAAATTCTCTCCACTTATCCACATTTAAGATAAAACAACCTTCATAGAATACATATGACTCAAAATTAAATGCACGAATATGCAGGTATTTACTGAAAGTTATGCCTCCCTGTGTTTCTTTCCTTGATACTGTTTCATAGAAATTAATTTACACCACTCTTCACGGTTTGAATAATTTTTAGACGCATAGTTTATTCATCAAAGACCAAACAAGTTTATTATTTATATGAAATGAGTTTTATCTTTAGTAGAGTGTTAATTTATGGGAAATGGATCGATTTCAAGTTTTGATTATAGATAAACATCATTTAGAGCACCACTGAAAACCACCAAGGAGTGTTGGACAGGTTTTTCACCCAAGCTTGAGACCCTTCAGCAGTATGCACCCATAACCCTACCGGAGATCCAACACACGACTTTCAGGTTACTTGATCCTAAGTAAGAGTTTTTTATAACTGCCTAACGGCATTTGGTTTCATCAGTATGATTCAAATGAAAAAAAAATGTGTATTGTCCTATTTTCTTAATAAATAAATCTAGTACCTGGAAAGTCCAGAACCAACACCATATAATGACTTGATGGGAAAGTGAAGAGCACTTGACATCTCTCTAGAACATGTGGATGAAATTGACCTTTGAACCGAGGTAATTCAGTTACTCCACCAGTAAACTGAATCTCAAATGAGTGGAATGACCGTCTACTGCTTCGATAATCTCGACTTATCTGACATGCATTAATGATTAACGCCAGTGGTAGTCATCAACTATTCATACCAGTCAGTACCATGTACCGTTCTGAACACCCAGATTGTTTCTTTGATGCTATTTACGGTATCACTCAGATCAAAAATTGTAAGATATGGATGACTTGGCATTTCAAAATAAAACTCCGATGGAATTTCACCTTGAACCGCGAATTTCGCAAATGACTGATTGCATTTTACAGCAGTAATAATATAAAATTATCTCAATGTACAATGAGATTGCACACTACTTCTTACTATACAACCAACCAACAATGAAAGATTGCAGTTATTACGGGACCATCAAGTGTACTTAAGAAATCAAATCACTGGATTACTTTGCAAAATTACACTGAATAAGATGACTAGGATGATTGCGGTAAGCACAAAGTTCACACCTCACCTCTACTTGTAACAAAGGATAGAAGAGTTCTAAACCGAGTAAACTCCAACAGGTTCACTTGAGTTAGATACAGTTGAGGATACGACTTTATGTATCAATCTTAGAGTAGAGAGAGAAAGAGGTGATTACCGCTCCACACCTTACTTGCTTTATTACATATTCACCTGATTACTCAATTTTTGTAACTCTTAGACCACAAAAACAAGGACATCAACTTACGTACAATACTCATAAAAACTATCTAAAGCTCACCTAAACTCTATGATGCTATGCTATGTCATATGGTATGAAATAGTTTTCAATGTATACATAAACCAATCAATTAGCCATACACCTAAGAATTTGGTCATGTGGCACCAATAAAGAATTGCAACAACAACAACAACTCAATCATATGGTCATCAAATGATCACACAATGGTTAAAGTAACATCCATTTGTATATATATAGGCCTGAATCACTTTATAATAAATACAGGATGAGATCATTGGAAAATGAAATCGATTAGTTTAGTTGTATAACCTTTTCGATTATTGTTATAGTCGATGATGACTTAATTGGTGGATGGTGACTAGCAGTGGAATCCAGGATAACGCGCATTTCCTCCAATTTGGGACTCGTCAGCCAGTGGATGTACCTGCATTTATCAGTGAGTGATGATGTTCCCACCGAAGCTCGAACCCGTTGCACAAGAGGTGGCTGGCTCTCGTGGCCGAAGTGGTCTAGTGAATAACGCTTTGGCGTTTGAAACTATGGCCACTGGGTTCGAGCCTCGGTGGGAACATCATCATAGATACATCTAGCTGACGAGTTCCAAATAGGACGAAATGTGCATCCTGGATTCCACTGCTAGTCACCATCCACCAATTAAATACTAATTAAATGCCCAGACATCGTCGAAGCATCTGCACAAGAAGCCGGCATGTCAACCTGGGACCGAGCACTTCGGTTCAATCAATTGACGGGAAAATCTCAAATTCAATTAAAGTCAATGATGACTGTTTAAGTACTGAAAACAATTTAGATTCTCTGTATACACTGTTATACATGAAATTATATTAGATAGTCTTAACTTATTATCAGTGTGGAAATCTGATACGTACAGTTATAAGGAAAGAGTTACGGGTCTTCAACAGTATTTAGTGTCAGATTAGTGCGTCTATGTGAATTCAGGGGGAAACTTGGCATAAGTGTCGCCAAAAGCATTTCCAACAGCCTACTACAGACTTTCATCAGTAGCTGACTTCACTAGCTCCATACTGAATATCAAATGATTGGCTAGAAAGGATAACCCCAACAAGGAACTCTGACAATGAATCAACTACTAAGAACCTAAGGCCCAACAAATATGTAAAAAAAAATTGAGATGATGGACTGAACATACACTCAGATCAGGAGATCGTTAAACGACATCAGGCACCCTCGAATGGAAACCGAATAGGAAACGACGACTTGTATGATGGTTTAAGGGTGTCATAGAGAAGAAGATCACGTGAGGAGGAAATTAAAGCCTGTAGGGAATCATGTAGTCAGCTAAAAGTACGTACTGATGAAGAGTCCCAAACTAGGACGAAACAGCTGTCCAGTAATCCCAGGTTTTCCAATGGTTCTTTAACCAATGTCAACTTATGATGAAATCCTGTAACCAGGAGAAAAGAGTGCAAAGAAAACGATGAAACGAAGATGTTCAACTGAAGCTGTATGTTCCACTTACAACCAAGAGAATAGATTAATGTTGATGTGATGGTATAACAGAATTAAAACAGAATTAAATTAAATATTAAGCAGAAAAGCAGTAAGTGGACAACAATTAGGTAGTGTTTTATTTTGAGATAAAAAGAGGAAAACAGGAATAAGCATTAGGAAGAGGAAAAAGAGATAATTCCAAACTTTTTTCACATAATCATGTGAGTAAAATTCAGCTTCTCATGATTGTCTGTCACGTTTTGTTTATCTTGACATTCAACTGCAAAACACCTTTATTTTACAGTTGAAGTCAATATATGCTGAGAATATTTTAGCATCACATCATGAATGGTAGTACTAGTAGTGTGGTGAATTCTACTTATAATCAGATTTAAGTAGTATGTCAGTAAATGAATTCAGAAAAGTAATATGTTTTGGACACTAGAAAAAAGCAATCAACAAACGGCACAAACACTGTGCAGAATCAAACAAGCTATTGAATGTGGTGACATTCTATCGACCAATTTGCAAATGATGTATAAATAAGGCATTGAAGATAAGGTATACTAAATTGATGTGCCTGCAATGCTTTTGTCCTTATAAACCTTGACTTTGAGCCTTATCGGTATTTTCTTGCTTACAGCAGTAGGTCCAATAATCATTTGAGACTATACAATAGGCACAAAAAACATGTGACGTCCGCTCAAAGTCATTCAGCATGTTCAAGACTATAGAGATGGTGAGACACCATACACGACCAGTTTCGTAACCACGGATAGATTTAATTAAGTCAATTGATTCCAGTTATTTTAAACACATTTAGTCAGGTAGTTTAATTCATCTGGATATACACAGGCTCGATAACTGGAACACTCTTATACAACTGTCGCTGCGATGCTGTTTATTTAACAGTAGTATACATGGGTTCATGGTTCTAGAGGCATGACAATAAAACACTCTTGAGTTTTCCTATCCACTCACAATGAGTAAGTCAATTGACGATTTGGCTTCTCACACAAGCTAAATAGTTTTGCAATTAATAGTGTTCTCTGAGCTGGTTAGTTTAGTTGCGGAGCTTTCGTCGTCTTTCTGGACGACATCTTCAGTGCAGTATTTAGCATAAAGTCAAATGATTTAAAATCTCCATGAATGATGATACAATTGCGTCTCCTGGTGACCAACCATCTTTACATATGTATTGACCGTTTTCTATTGATTGGGATTTTAAACTTTCTGGTCACTAACAAAAAGTAAATGAGGTGACCTCACAATCATTACAAGGTATTAGATAAAACTAGATGACTTTGGTTAGTAGGTTCCCCGTTATCCTTGAATCGACATGATTTGTTTCTAAGTGAGTACGTGAGTTTGAAAGCCACTTTTATTCCTGCCTTGTTAAGAATATTACACAGGGTTTCAGAGGTCCCCTCTTTGTATGGCAGCACTACTTATGCCTTCAATTCCCTCCTCCTGATGTCTTCGTCTTTTTGTATAAATAGTACTAATAGTGATATAATTAATAAGTACATATTACCACAGTGCCCAAGTTTTACACATATATATTAATTCCTACCAGCCTAGTTAATTATTCCCATTTATGATGCATCACGCAGAGTGAAACCTTTCTCATGCCAAATGCTCATACACAGCAAAACAACACACGCATAAAGAATAATATGAAGATGAATTTAAACAAATAACACAGATAATTACTTCACCATCCAAGAAATTTGACATTGCTTTTGAACTAATTGTTAAGGCTTCTTCAAATTGACCTTTAGCCTCTTCAAATGCATCATCCGGTTGAGCGTTGGCTGTAATTTCAAAGTCATGCGTATATTGTAAAGAAAAATAAAATTGAACAAGTGAATAAATAGAGAATATAAAATAATACAGAGTAAATAAAAGGAAAAAAGTCTAAAAAGGTATCTCCACTAGCAAATTAATGGTAGAATGTTGGCTATCGAGCATGCCGTCCAGGGTTCGATTCCCGGACGACACATTTCTAACCCACCTCCCCCCCCTAGCTTACTAACTGGTAGGAAGCCTGGAAAATAAGGAAGGCTGTGTGAAGTTAGTGACCTTTAAAAAAACACATCGTTATTGAAACTTCGCAAGCCTGAAGCCCTATGTTCCGCTTAGGAAGCAAAGGAATGATAATGTGCAGTGAATGTATAGATGTAGAGATAAGTAGACAGGCCGTAGCATCAAGACACTGTCTAGACGTGTCCATGAACACTTACCATCATGGTTGTCAAAAGGAGAAGATAGAACAGTCAACAGCTCAATCGTGCAGCATATTATCAGCAGAGACTTCTTTCAGAGTCATATGTAAAGTACGAACAAGAGCAATCTACATTGTCTGTCTGTCTGTCTGCTTTCGACATAGAACTTTGCAGCAGTTCAAGTCGCCACACTCCCTCCTTGTAGCAAACAAAGCAAAAGAAGAAAGTAGAAGAAATGCATAATAGAGACAGTAAACAGGGATATGAGACAAAAGGAATACTAATAACAATATCGTTTCGTTGGAAATTATAAGTCACAAGGAATGTGCGTCGGTGGCACAGTGGTTAGGACTCTCGTCGACCATGCACATGGTCCGGAGTTCGAGCCCACGCCGACGCACACCTGATATCTATGGTCGGCCTGCGAATTTTGGGCTACCGATATCCACGCTGAAAATTCCACACTTGTACCAAAAATACGGTGTGGAGTCAAGCTGTAACCAAAAAAAAAAAAAATGGATGCATTTGCGCCAGCCATTGAGAACGATGAATTTAAGCCATATCACCGATTGTCTCCAGCGATTAAGTCTTACCGCCCCGAGGACCTCAACCAAGAAGTCTACATCCTCTACGTGGCTGGCTTCAACTAACTGTTGTGGATTCCATTGACTGATGAAGCCATGTTTTTGTTTGACCTACGCCAGCTTTTTTCCAACCTGACCCTATGTCAGCTAACATTGCCCGTCGAGTAAGGCGATGACTAGAAGGATATGAGTAACACATGTCCCAACCATCTCAGTCGATGTAGCTTCACAGACTCGTCGACTGATTTCTTCTCTTTCCCTAGCACTCGACCGACGCTTAACCTCAATATTACTCACCCTATTATACCATTTCACACACGAGATAGAACTCAGGCACCTATGCTCAAAGACAGCTAGCCAGCCTTTTCATGTCTTCCACTCTCAAAGGCCAGGTCTCACAGCCTTAAAGGAGGACAGAGCGGACTGATGAGCAGTACACCCGCCCTTTGGTCGATAGTCGGATATCTCGTCTACGCCAGAGACGGCGTAAACTGGCCAATGCGAAACGAGCCCCCTGTATTCGTGCTGAGATTTCGTCAGAGATCAGCCCGTTGGGGCTGATGGTACTTCCCAAATAAGTCAAGCGGTCAACGTTCTGTACCACTTCACTTCCTATTTCTAATCTAGGAGTCGGTGTAGTCCAGTCCTGTAACATCATCTTGCATTTGGCGGGAGCGAATCGCATGCCGAACATTCGTAGATTGCAGGTCAAGGTGTTCAGAAAACTCTGCATTTTGTCAGCGTCTTCACTCAGAAGGACTATATTATCTGCATATTCTAAGTCAACGAGATTATTCCACGGTAGCAAGTCAATCCCTGAGTCGCTGAAGTCACTTAGGGTTAATTCCATTAGTACATCTATGCTGAAATGGAATAGAAATGGGGATAATGGGCATCCTTGACGGACACCACTAGTCTTCACCAGTTCAGATGACAACTCGCCGTAAGCCCTCACCTGGCTGTATGAGTACGAGTAGAGTCCCTTAATCAGTGCAATGTATTTTCTCGGAATTCCCTTCACAGCCAAGCATCGCCAGAGAACCTCTCGGTCGACAGAATCGAATTCCGCCTTTAGGTCAAGAAATATAATGACTGTTGGACGCTGGTAGGAATTCCTATGTTCTAGAATCTGTCGAAGGGTGAAGATATGGTCAATACACCCTCTTCCTGGTCTAAAGCCTGCCTGGCTCTCTCGTGTTTGTGCCTCCCAAGCACCACTTAGTCTACGCATGATTATTGAGCCTAAGACTTTAAATACTATATTAGTCAAGCTAATCCCTCTGTGATTATCACTGGAAGACTTGTCTCCATTTCTGTATATGGGGATAATCAGTGACTTACACCAACACGATGGGACTTCCTCTGATTCCCAGACGCTGCCTAGAACCTCAGTTAATGCAGACAGTAACCTGTCTCCACCGTACTTAAACACCACTGGAGTCATTCCATCAGGTCCCGCTGCTTTGTCTTGTTTCAGATTGGAGACAGCTTTAGTAACCTCTGTCAGGGATGGAGGACCAGTGTCTATATCCCATTCAGGGAGGTGTTGGATGTTCGGAAGGTTGAGCGTGGCTGTGGGCCAATTAAACTGCACCTTATAGTGCTTTTTCCAGCGTTCGAGTCGTCTATCCTGGGAGCTAATTATGGTGCCATTTTTCTTCGAAATTGTTTCACTTGTGATTTGCCTTCTCCCACCCGTTTCCCTGATGAGTCTAAAGAGTTGCCTAGTGTTGTCTATCGCCGATGCTTTTTCCATCTCTTTCGCCTTTGTCACCCACCACTGTTCACGGTCCCTGTGGAGACTTTTTGTAAGTTTCCTTTTGTGCAGCTTTCGCTCCTCATTGAATTCGGAGCTCGCCGGAATAAGTCTTCTAGCATCTATCAGTTCGGATGAGGCAGTCGAAATCCAATGGTTTTTACTCACCTTTGGATTTGCCTTATTCACAGTTTTTACAGCTGTATCTATAGCAGACTGAATATTCTTCCAGGCTTCTTCAGGGTGAGCACAGCTGTCAAATTCAGATATGTGTTTAGCTATTTCTTCCTCAAATAGGGATTTAGTTTCCTGATCGAGCTGGGGACGTGATGGATTTGCCGCCAGCTGTTTCCTACGTCCGTTTAGTCATAGGCACACACGAGCGCGGACCAGTGCGTGATCGGTATCTAAACACGTGTTCCAGAAGGAGCGACAATCACCTACCGACCTACGCCAACGATAGCTTATTGCTATGTGGTTCATTTGTATCCAGCGTTGGTTTGATGATGGGGGTCGCCAGGTCAAACAGTGTCTCTCCTTTTGTTTGAAGTTAGTGCTTACAAGAAACAAATGATTATCTGAACATAACTGTAGGAGTATCTACATTGCATATATAAATCGCTCAAATAACTGTACAGCTTTGAAGTTACGAAAACACATAGCTTTGCTGATTCACGTGTTCTTAATATATTAAATAATAGAATTAGGTGCCATGCGCTCTTCAGAGTAACTAGTTCGTAGACTTTTATTAGTTTTAGAACTCAATTAACTAGGCTGTAGACCATACTCAATAAATGAGGGGGTTGATGCTACATACTATCTAGTTGTCTAGATTACAGTAGGCACGGGCGAGGATCGAAACCAGGAACTCAGTGGCTGAAAGCGAATCAGTCACATACCTAGTCTAGCATTAAAAATTTTAGCCAAGTAGGTTTCTATCTAAGAAATAAACTGTGTACGAACGGTGAACAGCTAAGCTGATCAACTTAACAATTACAAGAAAGGATGACAGTCACACAAAATAAACAATATCAGAAACAAATGACTACTTCATCAGAAAACAAGATAAAATTGAAACCTATAGAGAACAATTTTAAAAAAACGCGCAATAATGACAAGTATACACACATTTGATGCATTATGAAGTGAACCATTTCGACAGAGATAAAGGCTTTTAACTTGAAGTATTCTGCATACAAGTATGACGTTTCTAAGAAAGTGAAACTGCTTTTAAACCGAATAGAAGCAATCTTGGCGCTACTCTTTGATTACTATTGTTATTGTTATTCCCTTTGGTTTTGATTGGAACATAAGGCCCCAACAGAGCATCTCTATTTCACTGTTTTCCTTGCATTCTTTTTTAGCTGACTGCATGATTCCCTACAGGATTTAATTTCCTCCTCACACGATCTTCTCCATGTCACCCTTGGGTCTACACACAAATCGTTGTGGTATTCAATATGTAAGAAAGGCAGATATTGATAAAAGTAAGCAGTAGGCTGTTGGATATGCTTTCAGCAATGAACGCGCTGGAAGCACGAATTTGACATTAATGTTAAAAACCCCAATCTTGTTCCTTATGCTGAGTTCAGAAGATTTCCAAACTGATTTCACAGTAATGAAGGTATGATTTGTTTCTCCGATCCTGGCCCTGATAGCCTCAGCTGTGCCTCCACCTGCAGTAGAAACGATACCACCTATATAAGTGGAAGAGGGGAGTTCCTTTAGATTCCTCCTGTTGTTATTAACTAATCCTTATTGTTCGAGAACCTGGACTTTGCCGATGATATATGTCTAATTTCCCACAAACTGGAAGATATGCAAGTGAAAAGCAACAAGTTGTCAGAAGAAGCATCCAGAGAAGAGAGGCCTTCATGTGAACAGAGAAAACGGAGGTGATTAAGATTCCTGGCCAAAAGCAGCAGCAGCGACAACAACAGATAACAATCAACCAGCATAAATGGGAGAAATCTGGAAGAAGCAATCTCCTTTACACATCTCCCTACCTGCGAATCACCGTTTCAACTACAGACGGACGGAACTGATGAGGATATCAAAGCGAGGATCGGGAGAGCAAGGTAAGCTTTCATTACTCTCAAGTCTGTGTAGAGGTCAACAGCACTCAGCATTAAAAATAACATCCGGATTTTCAACTCCAATATGAAGTCAGTACTACTTACTATTCGGATCAGAGACTTGGCGCGTCACAAAGAGCACCTCAAACAAACTACAGACTTTCATCAACAGCTGTCTTCGCTGAATACTCAAGATCAGATGGCCAGCCAGAAAAGATCACCAACAGGGATCTCTGGAAGCGAACCAATCCAACAGGAACCAACTGTCCAACAAATCTGCAGGAAGAAATGGAGGTGGATTGGCCATGCTCTGAGAAAACCACCAAGTGAGTGACATCACACACCAGGCCATCGCTCGAGTGAAACCAGAATGGGAAGTGGCGAGTTGGTCGTCCAAGGGTGATGTGGAGGAGGTCATGTGAAGGGGAGATGAAAGCGTGTGGGCAGACTTGGAGCGGGGTGAAAACGTTGGCAGAAAACCGAACGCAATGGAGACGCGCGGCCAAAGTCCTATGTTCCTCTAGGAATTAAAGGAAATAATAATAATAATCACCTCTGTCTCTTTTATGTTCACTTTATTAAGTCATGTCATTGCTGCCTCTTCTGTCAAAATAGTTGTTTTTCACTAGTAAACTAGGCGAGGTCAGCCACCCAATTATCACAGCAAAATAACTACCAAACATAAATATCGAAATATTGGCAAGAATAATTCATAACTTTATCACCATTATGAAGTCATTACTAAATACTAATCTTTCAAAAGTTGATTTGTCTTTCAAGTTTCATCATGGATTGATACCAGTTAGAGAACCATCGAAAACCACTATTGGAGTACTGGACATCTGTTCCGTCCTAGTTTGAGACTCACCGACAGCACACACCCACTGGGGTTCGAACCCAGGACCTTCCGGCTACAAGGCAAGCTCGTAGACCATTCAGTAGGGTCTATCCTGTCGGAAGTGAGGAATTATAATATCCAACGAAACTATATTGTTCTTCCATATTACTATTCTTTCGCCTTATATCCCCGTTTAAAACCTCATTTTACTTTCTTCTCTTGCTTTGTGTGCTAAGTGAAGTGTGGAGTCTCGAACTGCTGCATATCGGTGCAAAGTTCTACTTTGAAACCAGTTAGTCAGGAGTGAAGACAAATGCTCGCCGATGATATTGGCTAGTGGTTGTGCTAAAATCACAAATCGGTAGAAGTTAGAGGTCATGGACCATTAAATCGGGTCCCAGTGACTGAATGGTATACGAGATTGCCTTGTAACCGGAAGCTCTTGGGTTCGAAACACCGTGAGTGAGTATTGCCGATGAGTCTCGAACTATGACGAAACAGATGTCCAGTACTCCAGTGGTGGTTTTCAATGGTTCTCCAACTGATATCAATCCGTGGTCAAACTTGAAAAATAAATATCAATCATTTAAATGATAAAAAATTAACCATTTTCAGAAATGATTAAATCATAATGAAATATTATTTGCTTCTTCCTAAGTATTACTATTCGCGATGGTAGTCAATTCTCCATTTTAATACAATTCATAAAAGACGTAAGTTTGTTTACATCTCGAAATGTATACATAAATCCATCTGTTCTGCAGTTGTTGCTTTTTCTTTATCCCTTTGTGTTCCGCGTGGAACATAGGGATTCAAGCTGGAGGTTTGAAGTTTTGTAACAATAGTTTTGTTTTTACAAAGTGAATTTGTTAGCCTCACCGCCAACCCTTCCTCTTTACCTGGCTTACTACAAGGTAAGCAAGTTTTAAGAGCACGTCAGCCGGGAGTTAGACCCGAACCACTTACATGGCAGGTGAACCTTTTATTACTAAAGCACCGACATACCATCTTTTCTACATAGTTATGCTGAACTCAATAAACAAATAATAGAGATTATTCATTAAACTATTCGAAATAATCTTAACACAGTGACCCTCGTAAGGTATACGTGAAGGATAAATGAAATTCGAAAAGGAATGAGAGACACAACTAAATAAGAACAAGCAGTCCATGGCTTTAAAAATAAAAAGAGGAGACATTCACAAAAGCAAATGATTTACTACATATAACTCACTTTTTTCCAAGACATGTTTCTTATGATCATAAGTTAGCCGTTTGCTTTCAGCTTTCTTTCGAAGCAACTAGAAAAGAAGAAATATATTTTCTTATCTGTACTTATAAATTATAATGTATACTAGTAAATTTACAAAACCTTATGTAGTGAAAAAGTTGAAAATGTGGATAAGAATGGGAATCCATAACCCGTTGGAGTTGTTGTACTGAAGGCTTTAAACTAATTAAGTCATAGCAAATTTTGGTGTAGAAGTAACCACTACACATACCAAAATGCAAAACACAATGCTACACCAATAAGACATTTCAATGAACTTGGGAACATACACAACAAGAAGGATATACACACTGAATACGGGGTTTTTATTTTCGTCAAACAGCCTTAGCTAATATGCGTAAAACTAATTGATTAAGACTAACTGAGTTTTCAATATGGGGGCTTTGCACAAAACTGCAGCAATTCAAGTTGTCATAACTTCATATGACACAAAAAGGTAGGCAGGAAAAAAAATCAAAGAAACTATAGTGAACGGGGCACAGCGGTTAAGACGCTCGCCGACCATGCACATGGTCCGGGGTTCGATCCCCGGCCACCGACACACTCCTTTACCTCGCTAAGCCAGAAATAATGCTGGTAAAGAGGAAAGGTTGGACATGAGGCTAGCAACCCCATCCTGCAAAAATAAACACTGTTACAGAAACTTCAAACCGCTAGCTTGAAGCTCTATGTTCCACTGGGGAACGTGAAGGAAAAAAAATAGTGAACGGGAACGTGATGCCACACCTGACTCTTTCCCTTATTTAATTCTATGTTAGCTAACACTACTCAACAAGAAAGGTAGTGGCTCAGTATGCATAACACGTGTTCTGGCTTTACAATCCCATCGATTGACTTCGCCTGTTTGTCTAACACTATACGCCCAACCTCAATGTTTCAAACCGTATTATACCATTTGACACTAGAAATAGAATACAGACACTGATGTTCAAAGACAGTTGCCAGTTACCTGGTCGAAATTATATAAAAAGTTAGATCACATATCTCACTTCCACATGTTAAGTGGAACTAGATGTGATCCAGAATGCAAAAGAACGGAGTCAAATGCTGCCTTCAGGTAAAGAAATATGGCAAGTATTAGATGCTGAGAAAGTATGTGTATGTTCCAGTGCGTTCTAAAGGGTGCAGATATGATCAATACACCCTTTTCTGGATTCCCCGAGCACCGTTTGGTGTTCACATCTGATTGATAGATTCACCATCGGGGAGCCAATTCACATATTTATATCTAATGCGTTTAGTCTGCGGATAATTATATTCTAAGCAGTTGTTTCAACACAAATACTAAGTGCTTTCAATTTCTCTTACTTAACAATAATAATAACAGAGGGTTGAAAAAATGCAAACAATCTTCGAAAAAAGCAGTGTAAGTTCAATGGAGTAACTGTGAAACACGCTAACTTCCTGTGCATTATAAATTACATTATAACATCAGCCTAACACTTCATCTCATTTTGATTACAATAAAATCGAAATCGAAATTCCCTGGTTTTTTAAACATCATCTGAAGTGTTTTTCGCTTTTACACTACCTCCTCTATCCTTTACGACAGCAACCAGTATTGTCTTCGACTCTTTACCCGTATGGTTATCTGTTTAGTCAAGAATCCAAACCCCACGAGGATAGTTAAACTCACTATTTAAACCCACCACTGTACTGCCTTTGTGACATCCTATATATGCCGATCACAAGCAATGTTCCCTGTGCTAGACATATGAGCGTCTTTTTAAGTAGTATCTTATCACCAGCCCTTTTAAACGACCTGGTATGATCGAGGGTGGGTAGACGTCAGTCTTCTTGAAACGCATTCATCTGGCCAGGCGCTCATAGCCTCTACCATGTAATCCCTGTTCACTACCTCACAGTCGGGGGGGTTCCTCATAAAAGTGAAAGGGAGGATGCGAACTTCTGGAACTTAAAACCAAACTGCTGAACATCATGGTTTACTTAGGGGAGATAGAAAACCCTAATTCCAAACCTATGGAGAATAAGGGCTACAGAATCCGAAAGGATCCATTGGACCTGTTCTTGTCACTGGCAACTATGAGGATGTAGCTCCTGACGCTGCTCCGATGCCTTGCAGATCAGACTTTAAGTCGAAGGCTCGCGAGTGGCCAGCTACGGTCTGGACGTCTGGACAGTACTGCAGGCCTCGCACAAACTATGGGATTTTGTGTGGTGCATGTCTTGGTGCCCATAATGTACCACGTTTGTTCTAATAATAATGACAATAATATTAATAATAACAATAATAACGACAATACTACCACTGTAATGAGTAACACTAATTCATCGACTCACACCCCCGAATCTTCTTCCTCAAGCTATACCAAAGAAATTAAGTAAGCCTATCATCATAGATTATACGAAAAAAACAGTTCATTTATTAAAACCTTACAAGGACTTAAAATATGGCAATTGAAAGTAAAATTTCGCATCATAATATCCATTTTAACACTTCTCTAACTTTTCTAAGTTTACTTATGAATAAATGGCTATCTGTTACATTAAGAACACAATATTCAGCGAAGAGACTCTTCCCAACTTAAGGCTTCACAATTCAGTTTTGCTTTTAAGTCAGTTTAGTATAAGCTACACCACTCCCGCCTATATATCTCAACTTTCTCCGCCCTACGTATCCGTGTTTATGCATACACAAAGGCATATACAATCTGATAAATGCATTCAGATATTATTTTAAACGGATGAATAGTAGAAGTTAAAATAATCCAACTAATCAGATTGTTTAGTGCGCACTGAATAAACAATTTTTTCCCAATTATGGTGACCTAATTTACAAACAAAAGGTGACCGTTTGATGTTACAGCACTGGACTACACTGACTCCTAGATTAGAAATAAAATAGGAAGTGAAGTGGTAGAGAACGTTGACCGCTTCACTTATTTGGGAAGTACCATCAGCCAGTGCCAACGGGTTGATCTCTGACGAAATCTCAGCACGGATACAGGGGACTCGTTTCGCATTGGCCAGTTTACGCCGTCTCTGGCGTAGACGTGATATCCGGCTATCAACCAAAGGGCGGGTGTACTGCTCATCAGTCCGGTCTGTCCTCCTTTAAGGCTGTGAGACCTGGCCTTTGAGAGTGGAAGACATGAAAAGGCTGGCTAGCTGTCTTTGAGCATAGGTGCCTGAGTTCTATCTCGTGTGTGAAATGGTATAATAGGGTGAGTAATATTGAGGTTAAGCGTCGGTCGACTGCTAGGGAAAGAGAAGAAATCAGTCGACGAGTCTGTGAAGCTACATCGACTGAGATGGTTGGGACATGTGTTACTCATATCCTCCTAGTCATCGCCTTACTCGACGGGCAGTGTTAGCTGACATAGGGTCAGGTTGGAAGAAAGCTGGCGTAGGTCAAACAAAAACATGGCTTCATCAGTCAATGGAATCCACAACAGTTAGTTGAAGCCAGCCACGTAGAGGATGTAGACTTCTTGGTTGAGGTCCTCGGGGCGGTAAGACTTAATCGCTGGAGACAATCGGTGATATGGCTTAAATTCATCGTTCTCAATGGCTGGCGCAGATGCATCCATTCCTTGTGACTTATAATTTCCAATGAAACGATATTGTTCTTCCTTACTTCTATATCTTTGTCTCACTCCTCTGTTTACTGCCTCTATTATGCATTTTTCTACTTTCTTCGGTTGTTTTGTGTGTTACATGGAGTGTGTCGACTTGAACTGGTGCACATCGGTGCAAAGTTCTATGTCGAAAACAGACACACAGACAGACCGTTTGAACTACAAGGGTAAAAAAAGAAAGAGCTAACTGAGGCAATACATACATGCGGAAAGTAAACAATACTATTAATTTACAAAGTTTCAATGTGCCAGATAGTAGTTATACGTTAGTTGTGTATATCACATAATAATTTCAGCTTACTGTTATTTCTCTGATATCCTGATTCAAGGTTTCTGAGAGCGGTTTCAAGTAACCAGATTTTGTTTCATCTAACGATTGTTCTTTCGACTCCACAATTCGACTATATGCTTCTCCACATCGAAGAAGTGCAAGGCCTTATAAGTAAATAAATAAATAAGCAGAAACATAATCTATAATGATTCGATTAAAAAATCTTTATTACGACATATTGCATATGAATGCAAACAAAAAAAACGCAATGATGAAGAAGAAAATCAAACTCTAAATGAATCCAAAAAGTCATGTTTTTTTAAATGTCTCATTTCATGTAATAGGATGCAAAAGCAATATAAGTGAATGCATACTACCAGTTATTATTATTGTTCCCTTGGGTTCCTAGTGGAACATAGGGCTTCAACTGCACGTCTCCCTCCACTTGCTTCTGTCTTCCTTCTGCTGTACTTTTCACCTGCATCCATGTTAGTCCATACTGTTTCAACTACTCTCCACACGATCTCTTCCATGTCACCCTTGTACTGACGTCCCACTCGCCGCTTCCCTTTCGGGTTCCATTCGAGCAATGGCCTGACGCGCGATGTCACCCAGCGACCTCCTCCAATCCATCCAATCCAATCCAATCTCCAATCCATCCAGTCCAATCCATCTCCACTTTCTCCTGCATATTTGTTGGGCGACGATTGGTTCTTGTTTTGTTCGTTCCCGCCTAGACTACTAGCTCGCTAGTTTTTTAGCCGGTCCCAAGCCCGGATAAAGAGGGAGGGTTGGGGCGTGGTGCTAGCAACTCCACCCCAAAAACTTAACCAAATTGCTACAGAAACTTCAACGCATACATACATTAAAAATACCAGTTATTATGGTTAGTAGATAACCACTCAAAACAGTCAACGGTGCTGTCTAGACAGATTGGGATGGTTTAAAGAAACACTAATATGGGAGATTTGCCGCTTCAAAGTCGACCTCACCAAACATCCCGAATACAACCCGTTAGAAATAGAAATAAATATTTACCAAGCAGTAATTTATGCATAAAATATAGTGAATCCATCTATGCCTTCAAACTGAGAAGAGTTCAGGAGATTTAAATCTATAAACGAAGGCTGAACTACCAAGTAGCCACTTAAAGTAATATCATTCATTAAATATCGATGTTAGAGAATGTTTTACACTTTAAACAAGCATATCAGAAGTCAGGTAGCTATTTCGATAAGCTTCAATGACTTAATATAAGCTGTTTTTGTAGGGTTCGACACCTGGGATTTTACTAGAAGTTTCTAACTGATCGAAGATTAGTTAACACCTACACATAAAAACGTATGAATACCGAGGGATATGACTACCAAATAACAAATTTCTGGATGTTTTATTCGCTTGCTTTTCAATCGCTCTTCATAATCTACGTGTTTCTGTCTGTTTGTCTGTTTTCTACATAGAACTTTGCACCGATGTGCACCAGTTCAAGCCGACACACTCCATGTAGCACACAAAACAACAGAAGTAAAAAAAATGCATAATAGAGACAGTAAACATAAGTGTGAGACAAAGAAATAGAAGTAACGAAGAACAATGCAGTTTCATTGGAAATCATACGTCATAAGGAGTGGATGCATCTGCGCCATTGAGGACGATTTCGAGCCATATCACCAATTGTTTCCAACCATTGGTTTTTACCGCCCCGAGGACCTCAACCAGGGAGTCTACACCTTCCTACGTGACTTAATCTACGCGTTTCACTCGCCTAATTCCAAATAAAACAGGCAACCAAGAATCCATACCACTTTAATACAAAGAAATATGTTAGTTTAAATTAAAATATTTGATTTCATCAACTTTACAGAAAGAAAGCTATGTATGATGAACAACATATACAAGAAGTGAATAAAGGGTTATATAAATTAGTATGAAAATTACTCAGAAATCACACAAATGACACAAGATCTTGTTACAATTACACTTCAAGTGTTTAACTATACCAGTAGAGATTTCGACTGAAGTCAGCAAGCTACGATCATATAATTACCAGTGGCACGGAATGTTACAGACCATCGAACATAAGAAGCCAGAAACCACCCATACTGATTTTCCGATTACATTGGCCTGGTATTTACCATGCTAAAACTCGACTGGCAGAATCTGGACAAGCCGTTTTAGTCATTATGTTCACTAAGGATAATTATAGGGTTAGTGGTAAATCTAACATTTCACAGGTGATCTATGAAAATCTGAGCCGAAAACAATAGTTGTAAGGACATACACGAAGGCAACTGAACTCTAAGTAGCAGGTAGATCAAAGTCAAGGGTGCACAGTATGCTTGTGCCCGATAAGTCTAACAGAATGGTGAACTACTTTGAAATGAATCACTAGACGTTTGGCTAATAAATGAAACAGAACTCACAGAAACGTTAATGTCTTATTTACTAGCAACACTCCATATAGGGAAACCTAAACTTGGAGAACTATATTCCCAATTGTCTATTCAACAACCAAAAAAATTGAAGATATGAAAAGATACTAACAAATCCCACCTCTTCTACCAGTTTTCAGATCAATCAGCACTAGCATTTTTGAAAAAAAACTAATTATAACGTGAGATTTTAGTTAACATCAATGCTATTTCCCAAATATTAAAACTTACTGAAATTATGCTGTGGACCTAACTGTCTGCCGTATTCCGAAAAACAATCAGACAGAGCCTTCTCTGCATGAGGATACGATTCGCCACCCGAAGATCCTTGAATTTTGTTTACAGTCGAACTAGCCCATGCTCGTTTGCGTGCATTTGGATTGGGTTCTAAGCAATCAACAACCCGTCTTTGAGCACTCTCAAAATACCCTTTATATGAATCAATAAGCTAGTTACGAGATAAGAGAAGAAGAAGCAGTTAGTCAGAGTATTTTGCTAAACACAAAAACAACAATACATCTAACAGTTTTGTTTAACCTTCAACAAGGCATTCACAGACAAATAAAAACCATAGGACTCATTTTAAACTTTTTTAAAGTAATAAAACTTCCCCTAAATATCCCGAGCTTAAAATTTAAATGATGCGATGCCATACATAACACCTATACAGCGTTGTAAACGACTTCAGACAATGCAACGGCTAAATTCCTACCTACTTTGAATAACACTAACTTACGAACCGAACATTAAAAAATAAGTGTAAAACTGAAGTATTTCCGAAGTAGTCAGGACATTTTTCTCGAAAATCCCAACTGCGCATAACTTCAAAATATTTGCTGGTTTCTTATACAAGCCCAACAAATTGTTTTAATTTTCCCAGTTAATACCAAAAACGCTATTTGTATGGTACTGAAATACCCTCCCCCTCATTGTTTGTAAACTTAGAGGTATTCATATGGCTTAAATTCTGTGAACTACACCCCGTTTACAATTAAATAAACTCGAAATTCAGAAACTACTCACAGGGCTCTAAAAATTAATAATCTTAAGAGAAGTAGAACCATTTATGCCAGCAGCATGATAATGCTGTGCATTTCTAACTAATTTGACATTTATTATCAATCCCAGAAATACTCTCTTAAAACGAAATAAAAAGCTGCACACTTCTTTCCTCTACAGCTTCCCCTTATAAATAACATTATGAGTGAACGACAATGTGGTGGCATAACTTATGTCCAATATCGTTTTTACGATCTAGTATAAACCAATTTGATTTCTTTGTGCTCGCCTCTTCATTGTGAGTTATAGGTTCCTGATCTTCAGTAAACCTCTGCGTAGCTAGTCCCGCTACTCGACTGTCGTAGCTTTGGTTGACTCCAAAAGGAGTAGTGCTGGGATTAATTATATGTGGTATGTAGTATGAGGTGTGTTAAGACTGCTACTACTGTGAATGGAGTTGATCCTTTCACCAGCTAGTCCTCCGGTATCGTCGTCAAAAGAAAAGATAATAATAATAAAAACGATAGATATAATTAGTGAAGTTATTCAGACTAAACAGCAAAAGAAATAAAGAAAACGTCTAGAGTTGTAGGCCCGTATATAATATATTATCAGGTCCTGTTGTATTCAGAAAGAAGCTAAACCGATGTTATTAAAAGATGCACAGATAAATGCGCGTCAATAGTCTTGCATTTTATTATGCTTAGTCGGAGAACTTTTCGTAAACGAGGGAGAAATGTCTGATACACTCTTCAGAAAGTAGAGAAAAGAGAGAAAGTGAGTGACAATGTGGAGAGAAATGAGGGGAAATAAAAAGAAAGTGTAGCTTTAATTTTACATTGTACACACAATTCTCTCACGCTTCATATAATCGAGACTGCCCATTTACCCTACGTTTCACCTACTTTCCTCTTGTGCATTTTGTGAGTGGGTAGTTAATAATTCTATTTCATCAAGTATAACGGTTAATACCATTTTAAAGATCTGTGAGACAGTCTAAACAACATGTTATATGGCGTGGTAAAAAAAGACTGTGGACCAACCTGCGTAAGATGTCTATATTCTGCTCCTTTGTCTGTACCCTTTGCTCCTCCTAATTTTTCTGACAACAACTGTTAAAACGAATTAGTAATAGACCAATAACTTTACCTGATTACCTCGCGCCAGATGTTTTCTGATGGTGGCTAAAGGCATCTTACTTAAAGTTCTGATTACTGGAAGGTTAGGGCAAATTTTCGTTAAAGCTATCACGAACAAACCTTAATATGCAGCCCCGAGATTCGTCAAATGGTAGAAAAACCTACACCAGAATTCCACAACCAAAGCACAATTAACAAGTGAACTAAAATGATTCACGGAAAATTAGGGTATTTGTTTGTTGGAGTGTAAACGTGATATACACTCCAAAAATAAATATGCCTGGTAAAGACAACGTTCTAAATGAGCTACGACCTATAGAACGGCCTTGGGTCTGAAATTAGATAGTTCCAATGTCCGATATCTTCTGGACTAGTTTGCATAGACCTTCTGATTTCTTAGTCATCTCTTCTTGTCAAGACGTAATGACCATAAATCTTAAATATGTTGAGGAACTACACTATCAATCATTTCAGAGTTCTCTTAATAAACGGTGAATAAATATTATTTGGCCGTAACACATAACCAGGTTATCCTGCTCTGTGTGTTTACAACCAGGTAATTTCATGCGTTTAACATCAGCATGATGCCATCGGTAAAAGATAAAGATAATTCTTCAATTTCTTTTGACGACGATACCGGAGGTCTAGCTGGTGAAAGGATCAACTCCATTCACAGTAGTAGCAGTCTTAACACACCTCATACTACATACCACATATAATTAATCCCAGCACTACTCCTTTTGGAGTCAACCAAAGCTACGACAGTCGAGTAGCGGGACTAGCTACGCAGAGGTTTACTGAAGATCAGGAACCTATAACTCACAATGAAGAGGCGAGCACAAAGAAATCAAATTGGTTTATACTAGATCGTAAAAACGTTATTGGATATTGAATAGTTAATATACGAGAATATTTGGATTTATTGGCTGGGGATAGAAGGCTTTGAGCCTGTGTTAATCCTTTTTTAGCGAATTTTGTGGTTGTCTGAACCCTTCTTGAATGAATCAGTTGAGGTGGCAGACACCACTTCTTCTGAAGGTCGGTTCAAAGAGTTTATGATCCAGCGTGAGGACCAGTACTCAACAGCAGTTTGATTTTTTTTCTTGGCTTTCGGACTATCCTGCTATATCCTCTAAGTTTTTCCAACCTGGATGGAAGGAAAAGATAGAATAGGCCAGGTCGTAGTCATTATTTAAAATTTCAAACATAATTAAATTTATCCTCATTTTTCTCATTTTTTACATGAGGGTCGCCAGTTTACAGGCATCATCAATTCGATAATTTACACATAATATTAATAAGCATATTTAGTAAAGATAATATAATAAAGTACATTTTTTTCCCTAGCTATGTAGGGTACACCAATTGTATAGGCATGCATAAATATTGTTTTAATAATAATAATATATTCCTTCCTGTTTATGCAGGAACATACCAATTGTACAGGCATGGATAAGTTATTATATAAATTACACATAATTTGATGTATAATGGACTTACAGTTTGGTTGTTCTTTCTGACATTAGGGTCAGTCGGAACAGTCTGCTATAAAGTTTGTTTGTGTAGCACATAAAGAGATATAGAAATATTGTCTTCGCATTAACAAAAAACCCAGACATCACATGAATGTAATACAGATATATGGGAAAAACAAAGCTTGAAGTCAATTCTCTTATATAACTTTGTTGTGAACAGCACCGTTGGCTTAAAGATTATTGATGTATTATGTTGAGATCAGTGATATATTTATTCCATTTTTCAGCAGTCTTATCGTAGTTTCATAACATAATCTCCTGTCTGCCTACGGTGTGAAAGGGAGAAGAGAATCTGTCTAGGCTTTCCTCGCATGATACATTAGTCATTCCAAAAATCACACGTGTTGCCTTTCATTGGGCCCTTTCTAGAATATATGAGTCCACTTTTAGACAAGGACTGGCCATCTGGATACAGTCTTGACCTCACCAGAGACGTACATAAGGAGGTGAACATATCTCTGGTGATTCTAGTAAAGGCCCTGCGAATTGCTCACAAGGGTCTGAAACTATGTGCAGTGTGCTGTATTTTTTAAATAGTGGCTAACTATGAAGTGATGGAAGTCTTTTTCCCCCTAGTTCGTGGGGTTGATACTTGCTAGTCTAATTCGCATTGTTGCACACTTTGCTACATTGATCGGGAGCATCCATTCTATGGACCACTCTCGCAATTTGTTGAGGTCCTCTTGCAACGTGAAAGTATCTCTGTTGCTCTCTCTAAATTTTCAAGTCATCTGCGTTTAGGACCACAGGGGAGTCGCTGAGCAGAGACAACTCATTGATTTACAAAATAAACTGGACATGACCAAGTACCGTGCCTTGTGGCACTCCGCTACGCATTGCTGTCCAAGGGGAGAGTTTCAGGTTGATCGTAACCCTCCGCCTCCTATCTATAAGGAATTCTCTGAGCCAGTTTCACGATCTGTCTTTGATTCCAAGATCTTCCAACTTCTTGAGTAGTCTCTTGTGAGGAACTTTATCAAAGGCTTTGCTGAAGTCTATGAAGACGACATCAATAGGTCTTCTGTTGTCCCTTGGTTTGACCCAGCTTTCTCTTGCAGTCAGAAACCATGCTGTGCTCTGGATAAAAAGTTATTGTTTTCCAGATATGTGATGATACTTTTCCCGATGATTCTTTCCAATGTTTTGATCAAGGTGCCCGTAAGACTAATTGCCCTGTAATTTGAGGCGCTTTGTCTTGATCCTCCTTTGTGGACGAGTGTTACGACGGCATCTTTGCAGTCACGTGCTGACGCTCCATTTAGGAGGGGTAGCTTGAAGATCGGGGTCAATCGGCCAGCCTTGTCAGCTGATAGCTCCTTGAGAAGCTTTGGATGAAGATTATCAGGACCCATTGATTTCCCTGCATTTAGTTCCGTTAGGCATTTGAGCATGATGTCTTGGTCGACGTCAACGGAATCCATCCCGTGTTCCTCTGTTGCAGCCAGAGCTGATCCTACGGGAAGTAACGACTCCAGTGCAAGGATTTGGGAGAAGTAGTTTTCCATTGCTTCTGCTTTTCTTGATCTTCTTCGTTTGCATCGTTGTCAACAGTCAGGTTTGGGACACCACTGGATGTTTTATTCCTGAAGTTCATGTGCGAGGAAATTTTCTTAGGTCGTGCCTTTGCATTTTGAGCAAGATGTGCTTCGAGCTCCATCCTTGATTGTCGGATTTCTGCAGTAGCTATGTTCCTAGCAGTGTTGCACAATTTGCTGGTCTCATGAGTCTCAAGTGTGACAAACAGGTTCCAACATTTGTGTTTGCTTCTGAGTAACTTATGAATCTCTCGGTTTATCCAAGAGGGACAGTATTTCCGACGCTTTGGGACAGACCAAGGGATGGAAGGTTCAGTTAATTGGGCATAAATTTGTCTAAATTGGTTCCGCGCCGCTTCTACTTGGGACTCTGGGTTGATGTACTGGTTCACTGAGTTGGCTGCTGAGACGATCGCATTTATACCAGCTTTCCAGACGTTCGGGTGAGCTGGGGTTTTGGCCCCGGGTGCTGCTGTGAACTTGGAAGTGATCACAGTGTGATAACTTCTTTCTAAAGGAGGAAGATGTATGAGATCCACATCCTCACAATGAGAGAACACTAGGTCTAGAGTTGAGGAGGAATGCTCTGAGTCATAGTGCGTGGGCTTACTGATGTTTGACTAGGGGTAGCAAAATGCTAGATTCTAACAGTTTATCATCAAAGGAGTTGTCTGTAGGTGATGTTCTAAGGCTTGTCCAGTCAACTGTTGGGGCGTTGAAGTCGACGACTACGAGACTTCGACACTTCTATGTCCAGGGGCCTAGCTACTTTGTTAGGAAGTCGTCTGCACTGCAGTCAGGATTGCGGTGTATAACAATCAGGTCAATATCTTGGCCTATGCATTTAAGTCTGCAGGATAGAAGTTCGCACGATTCACTTTCGTGAGCAACTGCTTCGATGCTACGCACGGTTAGGCATATCTTGAAGTAGATGATTACGCCACTTCCCTTGTGACTTAGTCGGTTCACCCTATGTACTTCGAATTTTGGCAGGTTAACTTCTTTATCAGTGACACCGGGTATGGGCTATGTCTCTGCGTTGATGATTACATGCAGTTTTCGGAGTCTATCATATCAATCAGCTCAACCCGTTTATTCAGCAGGCTGTGGGCGTTTGTATGGCAAACTGCCAATTCAGTTTGGTGCTTCCGTTGCCTACCCACAGAGGTTTCAGCATCATCAAACATCGAACTATGGCAACTGGAAAGCCCTTAATCTTAAGGTTCTTTTCGCCGTTTCGGCGTTGTTCACCTAATTATAGGGCCGCAGACTGTCTTTTGACACGGTCCGCTAGGAATAAATCGGCATGGGTGTATATGCCTGATCCGTTAAGAGTTTGAGAACTTCTTAGAATAGCATCCCTATCTTCTTTGGAGCTTAGTACGACTTTGAGTAGGCGTACAGGCCCATTTACAGAAGAGTCCAGCTTTTGGCCAATACTGTAAAAGCTGTGCATGGTTATGCCCGATACTAATTCCGGCAGTGGCTTATCTAAAAAGAGTTGATCAAGTTAAGATAATGTTCGAACCTGGCTTTGTGATAGGAGGTCGGCGACTCTTCCACTTTGTGGAGGATGAGCGACCTGCCCGAGAAATGAGGTTTGCTTTCAGTGGCTTTCATGCTCTGTGGCGCAAATGTCTTTTCGTCCTTCGTGGACAGTGTGGCCAACGTACTGTCTTTATCTCACTTTTAGAGAGAGACCACATTACACCATTCATCGGCGTCGTCCTGGCTAATCGTAGTCGATTTTATCTGCCTGCTATTCACTAGTGTGGGCGAGTTTTGACCTACAAGTCTCTGGGAGGCTTGAGCAGGAGGTATTCGAACCCTGGTACGCCTCTTCTTCGTGCCACTTTTTCCATTAGTCACTTGATGGCTTTTACGGTATCGTGAAGGGAGCATGGGCGCCTGGAATGTGGTGGGTGCCCTTCTGGGCTGAAGGGCACTCACTTCCTGACAGGAACGCATCAGGAACGTGGCCTGTT